AACATCTCAATGGGTTATTTAATGCCGACAAGATTTTTAGATTTATTTTTGGTTTTAAGTCAAAAGTACGGGGATGTTCATCTTTACATCAAGAAACTGATTCGTTCCTTTTAGTTGTTTGGTTTGTTTGTTTTACGGCATATCAACATCTCAATGGGTTATTTAATTCCGACAAGATTTTTATTGCTGGTAATATTTTTATAATTTCGATCATAATATTATTTTTTGGTTTTAAGTCAAGTATGGCGCCTTTCTTAAGGATGTTCATCTTTTACATCAAGAAACTGATTCGATCCTTTAGTTGTTTGGTTTGGTTTGTTTAAGTCACGGCATATCAACATCTCAATTTAGGGTTATTTAATGCCGACAAGATTTTTATTGCTGGTAATATTTTTATAATTTCACATAATATTATTTTTGGTTTTAAGTCAAGAACGGCGCCTTTCTTAAGGATGTTCATCTTTACCAAGAAACTTTTTATTGATTCGATCCTTTTAGTTGTTTGGTTTGGTTTGTTTTTGGTTTGGTTTGTTTTACGGCATATCAACATCTCAATGGGTTATTTAATGCCGACAAGATTTTTTATTGCTGGTAATATTTTTATGATTTCACATAATATTATTTTTTGGTTTAAGTCAAGTACGGCGCCTTTCTTAAGGATGTTCATCTTTACATCAAGAAACTGATACGATCCTTTAGTTGTTTGGTTTGGTTTGTTTTACGGCATATCAACATCTCAATGGTTTATTTAATGCCGACAAGATTTTTTGCTTAATATTTTTTAATTTCAATAATATTATTTTTTGGTTTTAAGTCATTTTCTTTTGTCAAAAATCTATTTCTGGTAACATTTTTTTTTTTTTTATTGCTGGTTTAAAACATCTTATTTTCCACAAGATTTTAAGTTTTAAAATAATATTATTTTTGGTTTTTTAACCTTTCTATCTCATTTTCGATTTACATCAAGAAACTTTCATAGTTATTTGGTTTGGTTTGTTTCCACAATTTCAACATCTCAATGGTTAAATGCCGACAAGATTTTTATTTGGTAATATTTTCTTTGTCAAAATCTCTGGTAATATTTTTTTTCAGAAATGTATTTCTAAAAACCTATTTTTACACTTTCATAGTGTTTTACCACTTTCGGGGGTTAACATTTGCCCTCGGACCCCAACACGTGCTACCACCCCTGGGTCAAGGTGGACCTGGGAAAACCAGCAATTAAGAGGTGGTTCCATGCTCTTTAAAACTCCCTGATCAGAGGCCTTACTGTTGGACGTGGTTTATCGTCTGACCCAGGACGCGGATGTAACTTATCGTCCTACCCGGTGTAACCTAGGGAAGGTTACTGAATAGAATAATCAAACGAAGGTTGGTAATGAACGATAATACTTAGGACACGAACAACACATATAAGATTCGCGGTCAGATGTAGCACAAAGCCGAATTTAATGTGGGGTATCCGAGCCCGTAGACTAGGCCAAAAATTCCCCTTATACCCCGTATAGAACGGGGTCGTGTAGCTGTTTCACGAGACGATACTCTCCCCTTCGATATAGCCTATTTGTAGAGAATTTGACTAGCACAGCTGGAGACGAATCTCTAACTGCAAGATATCTTCCAACCACCCCACGCGGTCAGATGTGGCACAAAGCCGAATTTAATGTGGGGTATCCGAGCCCGTAGACTCGGCCAAAATTTCCCCGTAGACCCAGTATAAAACGGGGTCTGGTAGCTATTTCCCGAGACGAGACTCTACCCTTCGACATTCGGCACAGAGGCAAAGAGTTTGACCAACACAGCTGGAGACGAATCTATAAATGCAGGCCAACATACAATATTTACTACTGTATTTATGTGAATGGGGACATACCCATTATCGTTCGTAGGTATGCTACAACAACAACAACAATAAGAAGAAGAATAAATTTCCTGATGTTATTACAAGAATGGCCCTCATTGTTTCTAATCTTAATTGATTGGGGATGTTATCATGTACATGCTTCGAAACTATTGGATTTAAGAGGTCGACTGTCCGACCATAACCAGTTTAACATGTACATGATACTATGTATCTCTGTTCATACGCTGGAGAAGTGGGAGAGAGCATCTCGGTCGCGTGTTGAGAGGGTTGTTTGTTTTTTGTTTTTTTAATAAGTTTTAAGGATGAGGCTACCAACGCGACCAGGGAGACATGTCAAGATACTCGAGAAAACTTTTACTTGTATACCGTCTTAGAGGAATATCAGAACGTATTTCTAACTGGGGCTCACCTGCCAGGTTATGCACTGATTTTACCAAACCAGTCTCCATACCGCCCTGAGTAAGACGATAAACTACCTCCAACAGCAAGGCCTCTGATTAGGAGGTTTTGAGAAGCGTGGAAACACCTCTTAATTGCTAGTGTTCCCTTGTCCACTATGACCCGGGGTGGTAGCACCTGTTAGTGTCCCAGTTATGAGCAAATAATTAACTATGAATCTATGAAAGTGTAAAAATAGGTTTTATTACTTTGTAAAAAATTATTACCAGCAATACAGTTTTGACGAAAAATTATTACCAGCAATACATTTTTGAAGAAAAATTATTACCAGCAATATATTTTTGAAGAAAAATTATTACCAGCAATTCATTTTTGAAGAAAAATTATTACCAGCAATTCATTTCTGAAGAAAAATTATTACCAGCAATACAATTTTGAAGAAAATTTACTACCAGCAATATCTATTTGAAGAAAAATTATTACCAGCAATAAAATTTTGAAGAAAAATTATTACCAGCAATATATTTTCGCAAAAAATACCAGCAATATATTTTTGAAAAAAAATTACCAGCAATAAAAATGTCGACATTAAATAACTCATTGAGGTTGATATGCCATAAACCAAATCAAACCAAACCAGTCACCATGACGTGCACATTTGGCTGCGGTGGATGTGTCTTGTATACACTTATCAGTCAAGGTAATTATGATGGATATATTGCGCTTTTCATCCATTGCCATTTTTTGTGCGTGTTGTTCTTTCACTCAGTAACAATAATAATAATAATAATAATAATAATAATAATAATAATACGACAATGAGAGAAGAGCGCGATTTAAGAAAAGAAAAAAAGGAGATAGTGTTTGACAATGTTCCCCAACATTTCGACGGTATGTCTGTCTTCAAGTTATGTATCAAAATTTTATACAAGTATAAAAATATTTATAAAAACATGCAAATAAACTTATAAGTCTTTATATAAACGTCGCTTGTCTTAAGATAACGGCTGTACTGGTAATCAACGCGTCAAAAGCGAATGAAACGCTGCCAGCGTAAAGACATGCAACCAAAACGTGATTAATATGATGATCTTGCACATCTTGGAATTCTCCGTTCCTTGATTAATCAAAGAGTTAAAGTAGAAATCTTATGGAACTCTCCTTTCATTCTGTTCATTCTTCCGGGACAGGAAGTTAGTAGTTTTCATACGTAACTATCCTTATGCGCTTTTTTTTTTTTCAAGAATATGCACCTTAAGATGTTTGTTGCAATCAGTGCCCTTATGTTCTGCAAACATCTTTGATATCACATTTTGTCTGACATCATACGTGTGTCCACTAGATTTTTTATTTAATTTTTCCGTTGTGCAACCCAGATAAATCAAGTGACGAGTGCTGCATTGGATGGCATATATTAAATGGGAATGTTTTGTGACAGAATTAATTTGAATCATGTCGTTGTACAACGAACAAGTTTTCCCACTTCTACGACTGGTTTTTGGAGCTCAACGATCCGAAACTCCAATTGATTTTTTAGTGTAAACACCTGACTTTACTATTAATAATAAAAATAATGATAATAAAAAAACAATTTGCAATTAGGAGCCTATGTTTGTCTCGAAAAGATCCTGATAGACTATTTCAGGGATCCTTGATAGCCTCTGCCATGAGCGGGTCACACATAGCGGGCTATATCTATGTGAAATGCGTATGTTTTTTGTAATTTTCTTTACGCAAATGTGCAGTGGATCACGTCATGGAGTTATTTCCGATCTTATGCCTCTGGTTGGAACCCGGGGGGGAATGAGTATAATGCTTACGGACATATCATGTCGAAACATCGGTTCCCGTACGATCACCGTCTATCCTCGTCAGTAACTCAATGGGTTACCTCTTTGGAACACCAGGTCCTGTAAGCTTGGGTGTGCGGGTGGTGTAATGGATAATGGCTCCGAATTTTTAATTGCAGAGCCGAGTTTTAAATCCCGTTATACGCAAATACCTTTAGGTTAATTAGCCAAAACATTATTATCTCAAAAACAAATTCTTATGCTTACAGACAAAATTCTGGCTTTAAATAACCTGCAAAGGGTTGGTAAGTCGTAGAAAATGAATGAATCAATCAAAACGAATAATAATAATAATAATGAAATAGAAATCTCGAAAATGTGGCATATGGGAACATCAACAATCCCTGTTGTATTTGGAGCCCTAGGACTGGTTGGAAAAGATTACAGTAGACTAATTGAAGGGGATTCCTGAAGTCTATGCCTCAAGGAGATACAAAAATTGTTCTGGATAAGTACAGCCCACACCTTACGAAGGGCTTTTATCTATGTAATTTAATTTAATTTTTTTTTTGTCAGTGGAAAGTGTCATGACGCTATTTTCTAACCTTAGGTCCCTGGGGGGACCCGGAAAAATGTGTAAACGCTAGAAATCAAAGAAAATAATAATAATAATAATAATAATAATAATAATAATAATAATGTGTACTGCAAATTCCCACAAAACTTTTACAGATCGAAGCTTACAGGGACAAGATCTATAACAATTTTATGGGACTTTACAATACAAACAGACAAAACTATTAAAGGCAATCTCACAGACAGAATATGATTTCTTATTGAGATGACAGTCCCTTCAGATTGTGATGTATCTTTGAAGATTTTCAGAAAACCATCAAAATACAAGGATCTTGGGTGGAAATCTAAAAGAAACGTGGCATATGAAGCCATCAATGATTCCAGTTGTAGTTGGAGCCCTCGGATTGATTGGGAAAAAGAAGAAGGGGTGGAAGGGGTGGAAGGATGAGAAGAAAGAAGAGCAGAAGAATGATCAGGAGTAGAAGATTGAAGAAGAAGAAGAAGAAGAAGAAGAAGAAGAAGGAAGAAGAAAAGAAAGAAAGCAGAAGAAGGATGAGAGAGGAGAAGATTGAAAGAAGAAGAAGAAGAAGAAGAAGAAGAAGAAGAAGAAGAAGAAAGAAAGAAAAGAAAAGAAAGAAAGAAAAAAGAAAGAAAAAAAGAAGGATGAAGGATGAAGAGAAGAAGAGCCTAAGAATGATCAGGGAGGAGGAAGAAGAAGAAGAATTAGAAGAAGAAGAAGAAAGAAAGAAAAGAAAAGAAAAGAAAAAAGAAAGAAAGAAAGAAAAAAAAAAGAAAAAGGATGAAGGACGAGAAGGAATGATCAGAAGAAGAAGAAGAAGAAGAATGAAAGACAAGAAAGGAAAGAAAGAAAGAAAAAAGAAGAGGTGAAGGAGGAGGAGGATGAAGAGAATGAATACCTGAAGAAGAAGAAGAAGAAGAGGAAGAAGAAAAGGAACAAAATGAATAAATCAATAAAGGAAGAAGAAGAATGATGAGAAGTGGAAGGAGGAGGACTATGGCGAATGGGAAAAAAGAAAGAGAAGGAAAAGCAGAATATCAATAAAGAAAGAGGACTAGATGGGAAAATGAGGGGGACTAGATGAAGGGGGTGCAATAAGAGAGGATGAATAACTGAAGAAAGAGAAAAAAAAGGAACAAAAGAAAGAAAGAAAGAAGAAAAAGTAGTAGTTTATATTTTTAGGTAAACTAAAATAATAATAGCTTTTTCCAATAACTACGTATATTTATAAATAAAAATAAAATAAAACAAGCCAAACCCCAAAGACAAAAAAAAAAAACGTGGGTGTAGCTAGGAAACTAACGTTAATGGAGATTTTCTTGAAATGTCTTGAAGACAGTCGATAGCTGAAGGAATTATCCAAATCAACTCCATCTTAGATAAGAAATAGCGGCAATGATTGCTTCGCTCACGGGCTTCCATAGATTGAAAAAAATAAATGAATAAAAAGAAAAACAGCACACAGGTATGTATATGTGTGTGTATGAAAATATAGAGAAGGAGAGAAAGAGGGAGAAAGAGAGAAAGAGGGAGAAAGAGAGAAAGAAGGAGAAAGAGAGGAATCATAGAAACCGAGAAACAGAGAGAGAAATACAGACGAGTAAAGTGGGAAAGTAGGCGAGAGAGATAGAGAGGAGCAGAAAGCTAAAGAATGAAAGTAAGCGAGAAGGAGAAAGAGAGAGAGAGAGAAAGAGAAAGAGAAAGAGAAAGAGAGAATGATAGATGTAAACAGAGATAGAAATAGAAGGGAGAGCTTGAAAGTAGACTGGAGATTGAGAGGGAGATACAAGCAGGTGGAGAAATTTTATAAGTAGACGAGAGAGAAAGAGAAGCAGAAAGAGGGGGGAAGAGAAACACAGAAAAAGAAGCTGAGGATGCGAGAGAGAAACAAAGAGAATGAGAAGCAAACAGAAAGAGAATAAGTACTCAAAAGAGAAAACAGAAAAAGAAAGAGAGAGTAAATAGTGAAATAGTAAAAGTAAGCGAAGGAGAGAGGGAGAGTTTTCACATTGAAATATATGAAAATCATCAAGAGAGAGATAGAGACAAAGGGAAACAGGATGGTAAAGTGTGGTATTTTGCGAGAGAGTGAGGGGAGATAGAGATAGAGGGGGACATAAATGTAAAGAATGAAAGTAAGCAAGAGAGAGAGCAAGAAATTGTCTGTGAGAGAGAATTAGGAATAAACAGGCAGAGACTGTTAAAAAGGGAAGGGGAACGATTAGAAGTAGGAGAGAAGGTTTGTGGGAGAACGAGTCAGACAGAAACAGATAAACAGTAAGAGAAACATAAACTGAAAGAGAGAAAATGAAAGTGAAAGTGAAAGTGAAAGTGAAAGTAAAAGAGATACAAAGAGAGAGAACTATTCGGAGAGTGCGGGAGATAAACGGAGAAAGGGAATGGGGAAACAAGAGGAAGAGGTAAAGGGTGCGAGAGAGTATCAGGAGTGTAAGAGAGCGATTTGGTTAATTAGAGACAGGATTCTTTTGTTGATTGGTTTCAGAGATAGGAAGAGACAAGCGCTGTTTGAAAGATACATTAGTTGATAACTAATGCTGCAGAGATACGTTCAAGAATATGAACCGATTCGTAGATATGACTTTGATAAGTAATAAAGTTTGCGAGTCGAAACGATAGAATGGCATTCCTTCTTAGATTCCTTCAGATAAAACGTTTTTCCAAAGATTCGAACAAGACAACAGCACATAATTACAGTCGTACGAAAAGATACATAATTTTAAAAAATATTGTCACCTTTGATTAAAACGGGTTCGACGTGGTGTGTGCGTGTAAGTGTAAGTGTTTGTGTTTATGTAAAAGTATGTAAAAGGAAGGGTGAGAGGTCTGTGCGTATGAGGGTCTATGTGTATATGTGTGAGAAAGAGTGCTTATCTGTATTTGTGCGTTGGGGAAAGAGAATGTGTTTTACTGTATATGCCTGGTTGTGAGTTTACGTAAAAGAAAACTTAGAAACGTTATTGTGTGCGTGTATTTGAGTGTATATGTACGTGTCTGTGCGAGAGAGGGAGAGAAAAATAGACAGAGAGAGATAGCGGTGGTGTGTATATATGTTGTCGTGTATGAAAGTTATTGAGTGTGTATCAATATATGCGTGTTTGTGAGCGGGAATGTTGTTCCGTGTGTATGTTTGTCTGTACGTGTGTGTGTGAGTGCATGGGACAAAAACGTAAAGTTTTTTATGTCTGGGTGAGTGAGAGAGAAAGGGAGATATAAAACGTACATATACATGTTGATGTGTATGTGTGGGTGATAAAATGGTATGTGCATAAGTAATTGCGTGTGTGAGTGGAAGAAAGAAAATTGTGTGCAGGAGGGACGTTGGAATAATAGATAGCGGTTCGGATTGAGGAATCGGAGAGCCGAGTTCGAATACCAGTCGCTTCCATTACATTCACTTATGAGCTAATATCCTTGGGAAAGGTGGGAATCGCCCCCACCCACTAGCAATGGGTAAATAGGCACTCTTCCTCACGTGTAGACACTCATATATACAAACATTCTCTCGTTCTTCTTTTCACATAAATACATATAAACACTTACTCGCACCCACCACATCGAACTAGTTTTAATCAAATATTCTTTTTTAAATTATATTATTCTATAGCCTTGAGAATTCAAAACAGGCCTGGTGTGGGTTGGGCTCGGTCAGGCTATGTACTGGAGTATATATACCCCTACGGTCACATAGGGGTATATATACCCCTACGGTCACATAGGAGTATATATACCCCTACGGTCACATAGGGGTATATATACCCCTGCGGTCACTTAGAGGTATATATACCCCTACGGTCATGTAGGGGTATATATACTCCAGGTCACGGTATTCATGATCATGATATATGTATGAAAGAGCGAAAGTCTGTATGAGTGTTCATATGTGTGCGTATTTGTTTGTAAGTGTGTGTGTGTGTGTGTGTGAGAGAGAGAGAGAGAGAGAGAGAGAGAGAGAAAGATGTATATATGTGCAAGAAAGTATGTTTGTGAGATAGGATGTTTTATGTTTAGGATCTTGTGTGTGTGTGTGTGTGTGTGTGTGTGTGTGTGTGTGTGTGAAAGTATAAGCGTTTACGTGTGTATGTGTGTGTGACAGAGAGAGAGAGAGACAGACAGACAGACAGACAAAGAAAGAAAATGTTTACATGTATATACGAGAAATATGTATATGAGTATTAGTGAGTGAGAGACTATATGCTTGTCCGTGTCTGTACGTATGTGTACGAGTGAGAGAGAAAGTGTATGCATTTGTGTGTGTGCATGTGTTAGCCTTTTTTTGCAGGTGTTTGAAAATGAGTGTACTGGCATTTTTTGGCTGAGCCTACGGGCTCGGAAGTCCCACGATAAACTCGGCCTTGTGCCACATGCAAACCCTCGTGGGGGGGGTGGTTAGATACCAAATCAAGCTGAGCTTCTCGACTTGACGGTCGAACTCTGCTTTTGAGCTAAAGGAACCCGGACGAGGTTCCGCCGAAGGGCAGAATCTCGTTCGGGAAAATGACCAACCCGATCTCGTTTATACAGGTTATACGGGATTTTTTGCCGAGCCTACGGGCTCAGGAAACCCACGATAAACTCGGCCTTGTGCCACATGCAACCCTCGTGGGGGGTGGTTATATATATAATCAAGCCGAGAAGCTCGGCTTGATTTCGAACTCTCTGCCTCTGAGCAGAGAGGAACCCAACGAGGCTCCGCCGAAGGGCAGTGTATCGTACGGGGAGGTTGACCAACCCGATCCCGTTTATACGGGTTCTATGGGCATTTTTGGCCCAGCCTACGGGCTCGGGAAACCCACGTTAAACCCGGCCTTGTGACACATGCAACCCTTGTGGGCGTGTGGCTAGATACCGAATTGAGCCGAGCCGATAGTAGTTCACTCCAAACCAGACTGACAGTCATACTAACACCTTCCACATCTTATATTATTATTTCGTGTAATATACCTTCGTTATTTCTACTCTTGTGTTCGTGTTGTTCTTGCTTGGTCCTAACCTGGACCATAACAATTATCAATGGCAAACTCTTGCAGCATTTGTAAGTAAGCATTTGCAGTAACCGTTGGAAATGGGCCAATTACACCCTGTGACTTCTAGGGTATGATAAAGGATGGCGTTTATAGCAAAGGAGTTAGAGACATCGTAGAACTCATGGACAGAATAAAAGGTGTAATATCAAACATTCCTGTGAAATGTGTGTCAAGGCACTTAATTGTACTGTTGATCGCTGGTTTTTGTGGATCAGTCTTGCTTGTGGACAGTTGTAGACTGTTCAGTAAACAGTGAATAAATGATCCATCCCTTACTAGTATTAACATAATTTTGATTCACTATATATATATATATATATATATATATATATATATATATATATATATATGAATATTGATTCACTATATATATATACATATATATATATATAGATAGATAGATAGATAATATTAGTGGTAAATATACATACATATGCAAAATATATAAATACCCATACATGTATATTTTTAGAATAAAAATTCCAAGAGGAAGAATCCAGGTAGAACTCAATGTCTAGGACAGAGTAAGGATATAATAAAAAGGCTTAAACACTAATATTCCATAGTCATAATTTATTCCATTGGAATCGTAAATATCGATCCAATTCATCAGATATATATATATATCATATATATATATATATATATATATATATATATATATATATATAATTGAATAGATACAAATTATTTCCTAAAGGCATTATGAAAAATAAAAAATAAGAGATAATAACACTTACAGAACAGACCAACCGGTTTCGTTCCCAAGCTCATCAGGGTCGACTAGGAACAATTTAACAATTATTGTAATATATATTGACTCACACAAACACCCTACATACAATTAAAACATTAAAAAATGAAATGATTAATGGTATGAGGGAAGAAAAGTATATTTCAAACCGCGCGAATTTGCACAGCACAAAGGGAAAAAAATGGGTGAGTGTGAGGGGAATGTATGATAAACACTAGAGTCTAATAACTCTAGTGTTTAAATATACTAAAATGTAATGTTGATCTTTTTTTTTTTTTTTTTGTGCATCAATCGTGCTGGAGAACAGGTGGAGACAAGTGTTAATACAATATTGACTCACCCTGTAAAATTACTAAGAAGCGAAGGGTGCTTACTGGGTGTGAAAGAATATAAGAAAAGAAAAAAAAATGAAATGGGATGAAATAAGAAGACAGAAGATAACGGTTGGCATTGCAGGTTAAATTTTTGAACAGCGAAGTTGACTGGAAAGCAAGAAGCCGGAAGAAAGTTCCACAAGCGAGAAGTGCGGGAGAATATGTGAGTGAGAGAGGGAGAGAGAGAGAGAGAGAGAGAGAAAGCGAAAGAGAAATAGAGAGAAACATTTTGCGTCTATAACTCTCTATGCCTGTGTATGTGAAAGAATGCTTTTACCTACGAAAAGAATTCATCAACCACAAGGCAGCGGAGACGCTTCAAAACAGTAAAGATATTTAGCTCCAATCCAATTACTGATTATTTTCTTTTGTTTTTTTACGGCTTATCAATCTTTGCAGGGTTTTTTTTTAAGCTGAAACATATTTTTAGATTGTAAGACAATTTTTTGAGATAATAATGATTTTCTGATACAAGATTACCATTTAAACAAAAGCTTGGGGCGAAAAGGTGGATTCATACCTTTCCCAAGGACATTTGCACGTAAGTGAATATAACGAACCCGAGTGGAATTGGAACTCGGCTCGCCAATTTCTCATTCCGAACATTTATCTATTACGCCACTCGCACATCCAAGCTTTCGGCACCTGGTATTTCCGAATAGTCACCCATCTAAGTACTGACCAAGTTCAACATTGCTTAATTTCGGTGATCGTAAGCGAACTGGTGCCTTTCATATATGGAAACAATAATTATTGCGCAGCAGTGGTTAGCAAATAAGTTTTGTCAGCAATTTTTACTGTAAAGATTTCGATCCTCATTAGGTACCAGTCAATTTTGGACTTTTGCGCCAAAGCTAAGAGGTGTAAATATCAGTAGCTGCCTCGTGGCTAAGATAGTTGAGCATTTCGTGTTAGTATCAGTTCCTCGTTAGGAAGGTTATTCAGTACATTCCTCTGCCCCTCTTTCCTTTAATATGTCCTGTGAGTGTTAAATTTTCTAAGCTCTCTTTTCTCATTATGTGCCTTCACAATTTCAACTGTCTCTTTTTGCTGCTAAGCATAAGCGTCCTTTTTGTTTCCATTTTTTTTCTAAAATGTCGTGGCATACATGTTCGGTCCATGGCATCCTTCTGTAGAACCATATTGATTCATGTTTCTTCTTCATCCGTGAGGAGATTGTCTAAAATTGACTGTCATATAGGAGAATTGATATTGCATAACTGCTCAACACTTCTTTTTGCTTCTAACGAAATTTTCCTGTTTCTTAATACTTTTCTTAATTTTGGGAAGGCCTCTTTGCCAAGCTTAGATTCACATAAATAAGCATCGGTTGGGCGCATTATTAACAATCATGATGTTCTTTCTTTCTTTCTTTCTTTCTTTCTTTCTTTCTTTCTTTCTTTCGTCGTCGTCTTCTTCTTCTTCTTCTTCTTCTTCTTCTTCTTCTTCTTCTTCTTCTTCTTCTTCTTCTTCTATTCCACCTCCACCTTCTACTCCTGATCATTATTCGGCTCTTCTTTCTTTTCATCCTTCCACTACTTCTACTCCTTCTTCATCCTTTCTTTCTTTCTTTCTTTCTTTCTTTCTTTCTTTCTTCTTCTTCTTCTTCTATTATTCCATCTCCACCTTCTACTCCTGATCATTATTCGGCTCTTCTTTCTTTTCATCCTTCCACTACTTCTACTCCTTCTTCATCCTTTCTTTCTTTCTTTCTTTTTCTTTTTCTTCTTCTTCTTCTTCTTCTTTTTCTTCTTCTATTTCACCTCCACCTTATACTCCTGATCATTCTTCTGCCCTTCTTTCTTCTCATACTTCCACCCCTTCCACCCCTTCTTCTTTTTTCCAATCAATCCGAGGGCTCCAACAGAACCGGAATTATTGATCTCTTGTCGTGTCGTGTCTCTTTCTCTTCAGGATATGATCGTTCATGGCTCTTCACAACTTCCTATCCTTTATAGCTCTTAGTAATATTTGTCGTTTTTATATTATTCCCCACATTCTGTTCTGCCACAACGTTTATACACTCTGGTTAGATAGGTTTGCTTGGTGTTGCTCTCTGTCCCTCTTGTCTTTAGAGTATCCCGTGAGTGTTCATTTTCCAAGCCTTCTTTACTCGTTATGTGTCAAAGTAATTTCTGATGTCTCTCTCCGGTTCTGAGTATTCGCCTTCTTTTTTTTCCATTTTTTTTAGAACTTTCTCATATCCTCTTCATGATATTCTCGCATCTTTTTCATAATGTTTCTAACGGAAACATTTACAGCTTCGGCAAGTCATGGCATTTCCGCGTAGTCGAATCACCTTCGTTTCCCCTGCGTACAGTTTCTCTCACTTTTCGTACTTACCTGCAGCGATTCATATTTGTTATATCAGGGTTTTTAAAACTGAGCTCCATACACCCAAAGTGGACCCATGGATGGGCTTCAGGAAGTTTTATGAGGATCAGATATAAATTAACATTTATATTAGCTGGAGAGTCCTTGTCCGACCCAACGGTTTCGCGTTGAAAGAAATACAAGAAAATGTGTCCAACAACGACCACAGCCCAAAATCCAGATTCCACCATCCATATGGTAGGGAAAGAAATGATGCTTGCTTATACATGTTGACAAAATATATGGGTGTGAGTGCTTTATCGCTATTTAGGCAAAGTCTTCATCTTCTCAGTTATATTATATTCTTTAATTCTTCAACGTATGAATAATTTAGATACATTTTTATGAAATGGCTACATTTTTGTTAGATGGCTACAATTTTTTATGGCTACGAATTCTCTGTGGACCACTAGAAATGCTATGTGGACCACCGGTGATCCACTTCTTCAACGTATGAATAATTTCGATACATTTTTTGACGAAATGGCTACATTTTTTGTGAGATGGCTACAATTTTTATGGCTACAATTCTCTGTGGACCACTAGAAATGCTATGTGGACCACCGGTGAACCAATTCTTCAACGTATGAATAATTTAGATACATTTTTGTGAAATGGCTACATTTTTGAGAGATGGCTACAATTTTTATATGGCTACGAATTGCTCTGTGGACCACTAGAAATGATATGTGGACCACTGGTGATCCACTTCTTCAACGTATGAATAATTTAGATACATTTTTGTGAAATGGCTGCATTTTTTGTGAGATGGCTACAATTTTTTTATGACCACGAATTCTCTGTGGACCAATAGAAATATTTTATGTGAGACCACTTTTATGAAATGCTATGTGGACCACTGGTGATCCACTTCTTCAAAGTATGAATAATTTAGATACATTTTGAGATGGCTACAATATTTTATGGCTACCACTAGAATTTCTCTGTGGACCACTAGAAATGCTATGTGGACCACCGGTGATCCACTTCTTCAACGTATTAATAATTTAGATACATTTTGGAATGGCTAAATTTTTATGGCTATTTTTGTGGATGGCTTAAATGGCGTATGGCTACGAATTTTTTGGCTACATTTTTATGCTACCAATAGGCCAATTTTTATGCTAGAAATGCTGTGGACAACTTGAAATGCTATGTGGACCACTTGAAATGATATGATCCACTTCTTCAAAGTATGAATAATTTAGATACATTTTGTGAGATGGTTACAATATTTTATGGCTACGAATTCTCTGACCACTAGAAATGCTATGTGGACCACCGGTGATCCACTTCTTCAACGTATTAATAATTTCCTGATACATTTTTGTGAAATGGCTACATTTTTTTGTGAGATGGCTACAATTTTTTATGGCTACGAATTCTCTGTGGACCACTAGAAATGCAATGTGGACCATTTGAAATGCTATGTGACCACCGGTGATCCACTTCTTCAAAGTATGAATAATTTAGATACATTTTTGTGAAATGGCTACAATTTTTTTCATGGCTACAATATTTTGTGGACCACTAGAAATAGAATGCTATGGGACCACCGGTAATCCACTTCTTCAACGTATGAATAATTTAGATACATTTTTGTGAAATGGCTACATTTTTGTGAGATGGCTACAATTTTTATGGCTACAAATCTCTGTGGACCACTAGAAATGCTATGTGGACCACTTGAAATCCACTGTGGACAAATCCACTTTCAAAGTATGAATAATTTAGATACATTTTTTGAGATGGCTACAATATTTTATGGCTACGAATTCTCTGTGGACCACTAGAAATGCTATGTGGACCACCGGTGATCCACTTCTTCAACGTATTAATAATTTCGATACATTTTTGTGAAATGGCTACATTTTTGTGAGATGGCTACAATTTTTTATGGCTACGAATTCTCTGTGGACCACTAGAAATGCTATGTGGACCACCGGTGATCCACTTCTTCAAAGTATGAATAATTTAGATACATTTTTGTGAGATGGCTACAATATTTTATGGCTACGAATTCTCTGTGGACCACTAGAAATGCTATGTGGACCATCGGTGATCCACTTCTTCAACGTATGAATAATTTAGATACATTTTTGTGAAATGGCTGCATTTTTGTGAGATGGCTACAATTTTTTATGGCTACGAATTCTCTGTGGACCACTAGAAATGCAATGTGGACCACTTGAAATGCTATGACCACCAGTGATCCACTTCTTCAAAGTATGAATAATTTAGATACATTTTTGTGAGATGGCTACAATATTTTTATGGCTACGAATTCTCTGTGGACCACTAGAAATGCTATGTGGACCACCGGTGATCCACTTCTTCAAAATGTATGAATAATTTAGATACATTTTTGTGAAATGGCTACATTTTGTGAGATGGCATTTTTGGCTTGAGATCTCTGGACCACTAGAAATTTATGGGTCCACTTGAAATGCTATGTGGACCATGATCCACTTCTTCAAAGTATGAATAATTTAGATACATTTTTGTGAGATGGCTGGACGAATTCTTGACCAATGCTATGTGGACCATGATACATTTTGTGATCCACTTCTTCAAAGTATGAATAATTTAGATACATTTTTGTGAGATGGCTACAATATTTCATGGCTACGAATTCTCTGTGGACCACTAGAAATGCTATGTGGACCACCGGTAATCCACTTCTTCAACGTATGAATAATTTAGATACATTTTTGTGAAATGGCTACATTTTTGTGAGATGGCTACAATTTTTTATGGCTACGAATTCTCTGTGGACCACTAGAAATGCTATGTGGACCACTTGAAATGCTATGTGGACCACCGGTGATCCACTTCTTCAAAGTATGAATAATTTAGATACATTTTTGTGAGATGGCTACAATATTTTATGGCTACGAATTCTCTGTGGACCACTAGAAATGCTATGTGGACCACCGGTGATCCACTTCTTCAACGTATTAATAATTTCGATACATTTTTGTGAAATGGCTACATTTTTGTGAGATGGCTACAATTTTTTATGGCTACGAATTCTCTGTGGACCACTAGAAATGCTATGTGGACCACCGGTGATCCACTTCTTCAACGTATGAATAATTTAGATACATTTTTGTGAAATGGCTGCATTTTTGTGAGATGGCTATTTTTATGGCTACAATTCTCTGTGGACCACTAGAAATGCTATGTGGACCACCGAAATCCACTATTCAACACTGGTGATCCACTTCTTCAAAGTTTGAATGAAATAGATACATTTTTGTGAGATGGCTACAATTTTTTATATACGAATTCTCTGTGGACCACTAGAAATGCTATGTGGACCACTTGTGATGCTATGTGGACCAACGTGATCCACTT